AATTTGAACTCAGGTCCTCCTGACTTCAAGGCTAGAGCTCTATTTACTGCACTACCTCGCTGCCCCTCATCTTGAGTTCTCTACCCATGACACTCCACCTCCTGTTTCTTCACCTGTACAATGGCCATCCTCCATAACTGGAATGCATCCCACTTTCACCACTGTTCTTAGAATCCCATTTCTTTCAAAGCTCAGGTCCTCCTACACAAGTCCTCTACTGATCTCCCAGCTAATAATGTCTTCTATCAAAAATTATCTTGTATTTATTTTCTTTATGCTTTGTACACACTGAAATATGTACATGTTGTCTTTCCTAAGGCACAGAAGCTCCTCATTAAGGGAGGAATTACAAAATTTATGTCTGTGTCCCTGACCTGAAATACTTAGGGCACTGTCTGGCACAAAACAGGCACTTAATAAATGTGTTCTGACTGATAAGCTAGCTTCACTATAGGACAAGGTTCTTAACTGGGGTCCATGTACCCCCAAGAGATCTTTGACTATACTCCAGGAGTCTTGTATGTTGTGTGCATACACACACATATGTGTGTATACACACTTATATATGTATATGTACAAATGTACATATATACACACTAGTATATTTCAACATAACTGCTTTCCTTTCTAATCCTATGTATTTTATCTCATTCATTTAAAAACATTATTCTGAAAAGTCCAAAGGTATCAGACTGCTTAAGGAATCCATGACACAAAATGTGACTAAGAATCTCTGATCTAGAACTTAATTGTTGCAGATTCTTTTATATTACTTGATGGTTATTGTGAATCGGAATGAATCAGAAATGAATATAACACCAATTGAAGGTACAAGATTTGTAAAGTGCTTAGCACAGTGCTTGGCACATAATAGCTTCTATATAAATAGCTTCCCCTCTCCTTCTTCCCTTCCCTCCATGAAGGGGAGAGAACAGTATCACAGAGTTCTGTAGACATTTGAAAGAACTGTATGTAATGCAACTGTTGCTGCCTCAAGAAAGATGTGACCAAGATTCTGTGACACCCTTATTGCACAGTTTGTAAACTGCCTAGTTAAGTGTGGACTCAAACTGTGTTACCCACTTTTAAACTGTGTTAAGTTTCTTAATACTTTAAAGTTGCTAGTGTGAGTCGTTTTACTGTGACAAAGGACTGCCTTAAAATTGGTCTTTTACTTTCAGCAAGTAATATTTCTACTTTAACAAGTCTAACAAAAGAGGGGCAGGATTTATTAACTGTACATTCAATTCCATTCAATGAATATTTATTAAGAACCTTCTATAGAGAGATAATATGGTATAGTGGAAAATGTGCTGAATTTAGAGTCAGAGCACCTGGGTTTAAAACCTGACCCTCCTCCTTACTATCTGTATGATTGTGAGCTAGTAATTTAACCTCTCTGGTCCTCAATTTCCTCATTTGTAAAATGAGGCAGTTGGTCTAGAAGGCCTCTAAGATCCTTTCTAACTCTAAGATCATAAGATTTTCAACATATTAGAGGGAGGGAGGAGCAGGAGATGCGAAATTTTTAAATTGCCTTGACTTTGCCTTTTTGGAGTCTTTCATGTGATATTTCTTAACAGTCAAAAAATATTAGAAATGGTTGACAAAAAAGTATTTAAAAGATGCATGATTTCATCAGCATGAGTACTCACTTAACAGACACTTTGTTCTGTGTGTAAGTCTAAATTCCTCTCAACCCCTCTATGCCCTAATATTAAAAAAAAAATCAGCTAGCAACCAACCTTCTGGAAATGAGCCTCTTTGTATTTAGCTATACAGGTCCTCCAGTGACAGATATATGATTACATTTTGCCAAGCATGTACTTGAAGCCTCACTATCTTGGTAGGACCCTTCAGAATTTGTGCTCCACTGGCATAGCCTTGTGGGACAGGGTTCCCTCCATATCACAAGGAAGCTTCAAAGGACTTTAGTGGAGAGGATCATAAACACACATTCAATTTTCACAAAAGTAGAGTTCAAATCTTTTGATATGATAAAATTACAGAATTTAAAATAATTTATTCCTTAATCTGCATGTTTCTTTATATAATTTTTCATAGTAACATAATTTAATTGCAAAATAGTATGCTTGTAAAAGTATTTGGCTGTTAGATGATTGATGCTCAAAGGAGATATTCTAAGTATTGCTGAGAGGATATTTGTCTTCAAATTCCTTTCTTCTAGACAGGAGAGAGAATTTATATTTTGCAGTAGACTGCCACTATTTCCTGTAGTCTTCTCTTTGTATGACATTCCACTCATAAGTACCGCTAAGTAATCTGTTCTATGGAGAACCAGTTGGCTAATACAACAATGTCTAGACAGACTCTTCATAGCCCCATTTGGGGTCTTCTTGGCAAAGATACTAGACTGCTTTGCCATTTCCTTCTCCAGCTCATTTTATAGATAAGGAAACTGAGGCAAACAGGGCTAAGTGACTTTCCCAGGGTCTCACAACTAGTAAGTGTCTGAGGCTGCATTTGAACTCAGATCTTCCTGATTCCTAGCTCAGTGCTCTATCCTCTGCACCACTAGCTGCAAGGCATTGGCTGATCACAGTGACCCTGTAATCTATACCTAGTTCTTCCCAAGTTGAGAAGAGAGAAAACTAATGGGAGATCAGACCTCAAATAGGAAAGTAGAGGTCCTTTACACATGGCAGGAGTTTGGAAGAACTGGAAGAGAAAACAAGAAAAGGACACTGAATAGAAAGGTGTTGGTCCTCCCATGGCAACAATGTGACCATAGCATTTGGTGTCTTCCATATGTGCAGTCCCATTCTTCAAAACCATGAGAAATGAAATCTAAATGGACAGGTGGAGAGGTATATAACTGTGTGGTTTTTTTTAAAGTAGCCTCAAGGAACAGGTGCCCTCTATTGCATCTCTACCTTACTCCTGCTTAATTGTATGGTTTTTTTTAAAATTCTATTAAAGAATGTATTTGCCAGACTTAATATTATTTCTCATAAACACCAGTGGTGACCCTGTCTTTATGTTGCCTGGTGTCCTTTTGTTTATAGTGTGCGGTTACAATGGGAACCACACAGGAAAGTGACCTTTCCTGGTACAGGGCTTGGAGCTCAACCCCCAGCTCATTGTTAAAGAGAGTTGCTCTTTAATTGGGGCATAAGCACAAGCCATTTCATAACTACACTTCCAAGTGCAGAATTACTATGAACTCAGGCCAAGTTTTACAAATCTGGCTCATAGACAAGAGCTTAAGAGTAACCAGATCTTACACTGACACTGGCACCATCTTTCACATTTCATTCTTTCAAGGTCTCTTGAGACTTTCAGCATCTATATTCCACTTAATTCCATTTTAAAACCTCTATCTAGTGGTTCAGTCCCAACAGATCCATCAAACTTCACATGTCTTTACCGACAAATAGATATTGGATTTTTCTTTCCTTTTTTTTTTTCTGAGCCCTTTGTGGTGAACTCCCAGAAGGCAGCACTTTATTTCCATCAAGAAGCCGCAGCTAAGTGGTCTGGGAACAGGCACGTCTGAATTTTAAGCTGAGTCATGGAGCTGACATTAGGTAAATCAGATCTCTCATGGAGAAGCTTGGGATTCTCAATTTGGGCACTTTGTTTACAAAATGCAAAAGTCATTTTATTCCTCCCTAAAATCTCAAATTGTAGTTCAGTCTGCCACTAACTATATATATTATTGTCCTACTACTAACTAACTTACTTGAGGTCATATATATTTTTTATTTAAAATTACATAATTTTTGAATCACCAAGAATTAGCGGTCAATGGTTGCCCAATGTGAAAAAATGGGCCTGCAACAGAGACAGTGAATTGTTTGTGGGAGCAAGAGCATAAGATCTGAATGAACAGCATGTACCCAATGGAAACTGGAGTTGGGGAAATAGATGCAAATCTCAGCATGGCTATTAACTACCTGTAAGACTTTGGGTAAGTCACTTAACGTCAACCAGCCTTGTTTCCTTTGTCTAACAATAACAACAAAAACAGTTGCTAGGATTTATATAATGCCTTAAGATTTTCAAAAAACTTTTTATTTTTATTATCTCATTTTGTCCTCATAACAATCCTGTGAGGTATTACTATTGGGTACTATTATTATCCCATTTTATAGATGAGGAAACTGAGGCTGACAATCTAAGTGACTTGCCAGTATCATATAGCTAGCAGGAGTCTAACTAAGGTCTTTCTGATTCCAAGTCCAGCACACTAGACCCCTAGCTCTAAAATGTGGGAATTGGACAAGACAAACTCTCAGGAAGGGGTTTTGACCTGAGATTTGTGTTTTTCATATTTCTTTTAGTATTTCAATAGAATTATATTCCTTTGCAAGACTACGTATTTTATGCATTTAAAAACATTTTGAGAAGAGGTTGATAGGCTTCGCCAAATAGCCAAAGGGGTCCATGATACAAAAAAAGTTTAAGAAACCCTGTTCTAATATGCCTTCCAGTACTAAAGCTATGACTCTATGAAATCTATTAATTTATACTCTCCTTATCCTCCTCAGCTTCCCACTCCCCACCCCCTTCTCAAATCTACTTCTTTATGAGTTAGGTGAATTTTCTACTAGAAAAAATGCTGTAGTCATTAGCAAATCATGCAGTTTTTCCCTTTTATTTTGATTTGCCCAGTATCTTGAAAGCTGCTCAAGATAGAAAGCTATAAGGTAGTCATAAGGCAATTGAACCCAGACTGAAGCAGGTGCTCCTACATCATTTAAGGAAGAACAGTCCCTGAAGGGATAAGAGGGAGGAAAGCACACAAAGCCTTAAACCTTTCCCTAGAGTCCCATTACCATTGGGAAGAGGATGTTTAAAATTAGCTCCATTTCCTCATCATACTCTCACACAAAGAACAAAGTGTGAGCATTAAGGACAAAGACTCATTCAAGGCTCTCAGCAGCCTTGAACTGAAGGATTCAGATTTCGTGAGTTCAGACATGCCAAGAACATTATGATTCCATATGCCTCATGTTACTCCATTTAGGTCAGCCACACATTGTGTTGGCAGATAGCCTGGGGATGGGGTGACTCGTCTGGCCATCCTAACTTCAGGAGTACTTCTATTACCAGCCCCTGCATTTCTTGTTAGAGTACATAGTTTTCCCTCTTACTCCCAGGACTTTCAAGAAATCTCCCTCCTAAAAGTGCTGGGACCTGAAAGAAAGTATAGACTGTGGAGTTTGGGGAGTAGAAGGAGGATATTGCCATACAAGGAAAGACAATGTAAAAAAAATGGATTCTATCAGGAAAGACAAAAGCTGAGTAGAGATGTTATTGATGTCTGAAGAACTTGTGGATGGAATGGATGGGGTGAGTACAGATATATTTACCATATGCAAGAATATTAAAAAGAAATGACATTCTAAGAATTCTGAAAGAGGTAAAGTTAAAATGTAAGTATTTCATTTAAATGGGTAGCAAATGTATGGAACTCATCATTCTAAGAGGGAGTAAAGAATAAAAAGCAGTCAAATAGATGCATAATGAAGTTGGCATTTTTTGGTGTTTTTTTTTTGAAACAAGAAATGATTTAAAGATCTGGATTTTTAAAGTCCAATTCTTGGAAGGCAACCACTCAAATCTCCTCACAAACTACCCCTCAGTGCTTCTGTCAGAGACAGGATCCCTCAAGGACTCAATGGTTATGGCATATCTTAGAGTGTGCTTTAGCATTTCTGCATTAATTCAAGCACAAATAAGAATAGGAATGCAATTATTACCGTTGTCTAGCTCAGTACGTTGCTCAGTATGTTTATGACCAAATAGATGATCCTTTAACATAAGCCAGTTTTTACAAGTAAGCATCTTAACTGGCAAGTGAATTATTATGAATTTTTAATTTACTTGGCTATCCATTAAAGTGTGAAATTCTACCATATGCACAGGACAAAGTTTCCTCAACAAAAATAGATGGAAAATTTTTTGGGGGAAAGGGGGTACTGCTTTTTAAGTAACCATTAGAATGACATCTTTACCCTATAATTTTAAAGTTTAACTTAAAATTCACTCTATCACAGATTCTAAAATTTTTTCTGGTAACTTCAACTTGAAAGCTTGGGATGGTGTGGGTTTACTTTAAAGGATGTAAAAAGCCAAAGAAAAACTATTACTTCATCCCTATAGTTGCTTATGCTCCTAAAAACGTTGATGGAATTATAGCCTCAATAAGAGTGGAGGTGGAGGTCAGCAGAATGAAGGTTTAAGCTTCTTTCCAAATTACTTTCCTGATAATACAATCATAGAGATGAATGGGACTTGAAAAGGCATTAAGTTTATCTTTGCACTAGGCCTCCACCTCACTTGCTGCCACTAGCCCTAAATCAGGTTTCTTGAGGGTAGGAAATGTCTTGCTTCCTTACATTTGTATTCCCAGTACTTAGTACAGTGCTTGGCACGTACTGAGTGCTTTATAAGTTATATATAATAGCTAGCATTTATATTGCACTTTAATATTAGCTAAGTACTTTTACATTAACTCATTTTCACCTCACAACAACCCTGGAAGATAAATGCTATTACTACCTCCGTTTTACAAATGAAGAAACATAAATGCATGTGTGCGTATATGGGCATACATATATATATTTATGTGTATGTCTATATGTGCATATGCATATACAGTTATCCCTTCCATATTTCAGGGGCTGGGGGGTGTGATGTCTTGGCAATCTGGAAAATCTGCATAAAAAATTTTGGCCCTCCCTTTATACCAAAGAAGTCTGAATTATTATGGCATTAAAAAATAAAATATGTTGATATTACATAATACTATACACACACTTTATGTATTTCTGAGTTTTCTGTATGCTCTGTTGGCCTTCACATATCATCTGCCACTTCTGCAAAATTCCCCAAAAGTTCCCATTTAGGGGCAATTAGGTAGTGCAGTGGATAGAGCACCAGCCCTAGAGTCAGGAGGACCTGAGTTCAAATCCAGCCTCAGACATGTGACTCTTACCAGCCGTGAGACTGGGCAAGTCACTTAACCCCAATTGCCTCACCAAAAAAAAAGTTCCCATTCAATTTCTTATGCTGACCCAAAATATATCAAAACTCTCATAGGGCAAGTCACAATGTAGAAGGGATAACTGTACACACACACATAAGATGTCCTAGTTTGAAACTTTAATATCACAATACACACATATACACATACCCATATATTTACACCCATATACATGTAAGTGTATGTCTGTTGTTTTTCAGTCATTTTTCAGTCGTGTCTGACTCTTCCTGACTCTGGGATTTTCTTGGCAAGGATACCAGAGTGGCTGGCCATTTCCTTCCCTAGATCATTTTACAGATGAAGAAATTGAGGCCAACAGGATTAAGTGATTTATGCAGGGTCACACAACTAGTAAGGGAGGCCAGATTTGAGCTCAGAGAGATGAGTATTCCTGACTCCAGGACCAGCATTCTATCCACTGCTCCACCTAGATGCTCACGTGTGTGTGTGTGTGTGTGTGTGTGTGTGTGTGTGTGTGTGTATGTAGACACATACATGAATGTGTGTGCCTACACACAACATACCCACACACATATATTCCTCCTATAGTCCTACATTTAAATCATCATTCAACAAATATTTATTAACCAACTACCATAGCCAATACATTGTGCTAGGCACTGAAGATAAAGAATTAGTCCCCACTTCTCCAGAAACTTACAGCCTAGGAGAAGAATATGACAGGCTCGTGAATAACTAAAATCCAAATGTTAAGTAATCAAAAGAAATCATACAGGAAGGAACGAGAGATTCTGAAGAAGGAATTCTAACTAAGAGAATCAGGGAAAGTGTTAAAACTGAATGTCAAAGGAAGAATAGCATTTCAACGAGCAGTGATATAGACCATTTCTGTTCTAAGTATTGGGGATGGGCTGCACAAATGCACAAATTTGGTAGGGAATGGGATGAAATCAGGCCATGGCTAGTGGTCCCATTTGTCTGAAACAGAGAATAAACAAAGCAAAGTAGTCTAGAGTGCAGCAAAGGTAATTTGGACCCATATGGAGGAGGGCCTTGCATATCTGGATAAGGAGTTGTTATTCTATCCGGCAAACAATAGCCACCGTGAATGCTTTTGAGCAGTGAAATGTCTGATCAGGCTTAGACCTATACCTTAGAAAGATAACTTTGGCTGCATAAACTGTGACCAGACAGGGAGACCAGTCAGGAGGGTTTTATTGAAACTGTCCTATTTCGCTCTGGAAATTCCCACTAAGTCAGACAGTGTGGTTGATCACAGTTTTACAAATGTGGCTCAAGTCTCCATCCAGTGCCTTCTCTGCTAAAAGAGAAAGCAATACCATAAATGAAATAGCACAGAATATCTAAGTAAGAGAAACAAAGTAATACAATATATTCCACTCATCATATATAAAGAGAGCCTCTCACAGAGTCTCCAGGCTTCACTAGCAGAAAAGGGAACACTCCCCAGACAATTCACACTCCTGAGTTAGGAAAGTTGTGTAGACTTGTCCTGGCTCCAACTAGCTTCAGCACTAGCATTGCCTTGAAACAGTTCCCCTCTGTTTCCTCATCCTTCTAATCTTCTCTGCTTCTGAAGACACTATTCATTCCTTTTCAGCCAAGTTGGTGCTGTCATCTACTGGATTTGTCTTTCATCTAGTAAGTATTATATGGGGCAGCCAGGTGGTGCAAGTAGATCAAGTGCTGGGCCTGAAGTCAGGAAGACCTGAGTTCAAATCTGACCTCCTAGCTATGTGACCCTGAGCAAGTCATTTACCCTTATTTGCCTCAATTTCTTCATCTGTAAAATGAGCTGCAGAAGGAAAGGGCAAACCACTTCAGTATCTTTGCCAAGAAAACTTCAAGCAGGGTCATGAAGAGTTGAATATTACTGAGCAACAGCAAATTGTTATATTTTCCTCCTCCTGACTATCTAACCACTCTTCTTTCATGGGTCTTCATTCAGGTCATGATTGCCAACAGTGGGAAAAGGGGAGGGGGGAGTCCTTCAAGGTTGTGTGCTGGGCCCTATTTCACTTGTTGATCTTATCTACTCTTTGGTTTCAATCACCACCTCTATGCAGATAATTCTCAGATCTTCTTGCCTCATATCTAACCTCTCTCCCTACTTCCAGTCTCCTATACTCAACTGTCTTTTATACATCTTGAACTAGATGTCCCATAGATATCTACACTCATTGTGTCCAAAACTGAACTTGTTTCCATCTTCAAAACATCTCTCATGCTCCCTTCTCTCCTTTGACACAGCTAACACCCTGGTTCAGGACTATTACAATGGCCTGCTTCCAGTCTCTCTGTACTGCAATCCATCCTCAACTCAGCTGTCAAATTGATCTTCCTAAAATGCAAGTCTGGTCACATCACTAACCTATTCAATAAACTCCATTGGCTCCATATCATCTCCAGGATCAAATATAAAAACCTCTCTTTGACTTTTAAAGCCCTTCACTGGAGTGTATGGGTGTTCAGGGAGGACTAAAACCTCTGGTATGAGGGCTTGCCAAGCCCATTTTCAGCACTGTTCATCCACCTTTGGTGTCCACTGCTATCCAACTCTCACCTGTGGCTCCAAGAAGCTGTAACATGCACAGAAGCCATATCCCCGTAAAAACCCTCTAGGCAGATGGGCTAATCCAGGTTGAGGGTAACCTATAGACCTCAAACCCATTGATGAGCTAGGGGAATGTCTACCCCAAGTGTGTGAAGACTTTCCCAAGAAGAATGAGTACATGAGAACACTATGGAGCACTTATGGCATGGTCAAACATCAAAGATGCTAGGTCATCCACTGTATCTGGGCCATTGCTAATCATCTTGACCTTTGTACTGCCACAGGACTGTGATGATTTAGAAATAGGAAGTGAAGCTGCTGCTTTGTGCAACTCTCATTTAAAATTCAATTCACAGGCAAATCAAGACATCACACCATGATGTCACTGGTCCTCTTTGAAAATGAAGGTTGAACCTGGTCTTTTTCTACTTGTCTACTCTTCTTACACTTTAACTCCCCTCACACACACACACACACACACACACACACACACACACACACACACATACACACACCTTTCTCTGCTATCCAGTGATACAGACCTCCTTACTATTTCTCCCACATGATATTTCATCTCCTGACTCCAAATGTTTTCTCTGAATATCCCCCATCCCTGGAATGATCTTCCTCTTTTATCTCTGTTTCCTAGCTTTCCTGGCTTTTCAAATTTCAGCTGAAGTCTCACCTTCTGCAAGAAGCCTTTCCTACTCCTTCTTAATTTTAGTATCTTATCTCTGAGATTACCCTCAGTTTATCCTGTCTCTTACATACAGCAGTTGCTTGTATATCTGAGCTCCTTGAGAGCTGTGTTTTGTGGATTTTTTTGGGGGGGTTGTTGTTTGTTTTATTTTGGGGGGGTTGTTATTTTTTTCTTTTGTATCCCTAGCTGTTTGACCCTGGGCAAGTCACTTAACCCTGTTTGTCTCAGTTTCTTCATCTGTAAAATGAGCTGGAGAAGGAAATGGCAAACCACTCCAGTATCTTTGCCAAGAAAACTCCAAAAGGAGTCAAAAAGAATCAGACACAATTGAACAGCAAACCCTTCTGCTGCTTCCCCCCCAAAAAAAAAGTCCAGCAGAAATTAGTCTAGAAGGTTTAGATGAAGTAAACTACTTTCAACTTTTATCCTGCCTTAGGAAACTAGGACCTGTGCTAGGTAAATTACCTCTAAACTTCAGTAAATCTTAATTAAGGAAGAATTTAATAATTTGTGATGAGGAGATAGAGATCTGGCAACCTTTGCCCAGTATTTCTGACACTTAGGCAAAAAAAGGTACTTGGACCACTTATGGTACAATAGTCCAGGTGAGAGTGATAATGACTTAATTAGGTGGCAAAAGTAAGAGTGAAAAGGAGGCATGAATTCAAGAAATGAGGAGATTGGATTGGTAGTTCTTGGATATAGAGGGTGAGGGGAGGGAAAAGTCAAAGACAATCCCAAGATTTCAAGCCTTTGTGGCTGAAAGAATGATGAAGATAGAGAAGTTAGGAAGAGACAGATTTAGGGAAGAAAATAATTTCCATTAGGAACATGCTGGTTTGGAAGTGCCAACAAGATATCTAAATAGGAATATTCAACAGATAGTTAAAAATGTGGGACTTACCTTGAGGGCTGGAGATAGAGATTTGGGAGTAATTCTAGTAGAGGTATAGCCTAGTATCGAGGTGATAATTGAAGCCCTGGAAGTGGATGAAATCACCAAAGGAGAATGTATACAAAGAAAATAATGGCACATTCTGTTTTTAAAGACCATTAGGGAAAGAAGTTCCCTCAGTAGCCCATTCTAGAGTCTGATAACTCTCATTTTTATAGCCAAACTGAATCCCTAAAATTGCACTGAAGCCCATTTCCCTTTCCATAAGCCTCACTGCAGATGAAAAACAGCTGGCCATCATGACCTATATTATACCACTTTCATATTCTGAAAGATTGTTATTAGAGTATACATCTTCTAGTTCACTTCTGAAGGTGCTTGTCCTTCAGAAACAATAATTAATGGGCTACAGGGCTCCAAAACCAATAGAACTGGAGCCTGCCCATCAAGCTCAATTATACTGCTTCTATACATCTCTTGGCCTCTCCTGAAGCATGGTGGCACTAAGAAAACACATCTCTGTCTCATCTGACAGAAGATATTCAACTTTCAAGGACTCAGGAGGGTGACCTAGAGATAGTAACGTGTGAGACCATAGCCTCAAATTTAGATTTAAATGATAAGCAATGGACACTTCCAAAAAACAAACTCAAAATTACTTTCAATCTCATTAAAGTTCTACTTTTCATCATTATAATATGCTTTAATTATATACCTTTTTTACTTCACAAGGTCATGCTAAGTGTGTATTTTGACATTTTTTTCTGCCCCAAATAAAATACGTCAACATCTCAAAATTCAATGAAAAATGAATATGTGTAAATTTTAAAAGAAACTTTGTTCGCTTTCTTGCAATTCATATTTTAATGAGATTTTACATGGATTGAATTTAATAAACATATAGAAAGCACTTAGGGAAGGTAAGTGGCACAGATAGAGTACTGGGCCTAAAGTCAGGAAGACTCATCTTCCTAAGTTCAAATCTAGCTTTAGACACCTACTATCTGTGGGACCCTGGGCAAGTTACTTAATACTGTTTGCCTCAGTTTCCTCATCTGCAAAATGAGCTGGAGAAGAAAATGGCTCCAGTATCTTTGCCAAGAAAACCCCAAATGGGGTGATGAAAAGTCAGACATGACTGGACAACAAAAAAAAAACACCTACTATATGCAAAGCATTGTGTTAGGGACTAGGGATACAAAGATGAAAAGGGGAATGGTTTCTACATTCACAGAGCTTACACAATTCATTGTTTACACTGATCAAGAATTATCTGTGTATAAATAATTAGGATATATTGCTGTTTGTCCTTCATTTTTGAAGAGGACCAATGACATCACAGGTGACGTCTTAACTGAAGTCTGAATTGGACTTAAGTGAGGTAGAACTGTGCAAAGTCTCAGCCTCATTCTCTCATCTGGAGTCCCAGTGGGAAGAGAAAAGTCAGGACAACTGGCCCAAGATGCAGTGAATAACCTTGGCATCTTTGATGTCTAAGCACTCTGCAGCACTTTCTTCAGCTGCCTTTGCAACAAATTGTTCTCATCCACCCATTCACTGGAGGAAATCTTCACATGCTTGGGGTAGACATCCATCTAACTCACCGATGGGTGTAAGGCCTATTGGTTACCCTCAACCTGGTTTAGCCAAGATGGTTTTACTGGGGTGTGGCCTCTGTGCATGCTACAGCTTCTTGGAGCCACAGGTGAGAGTTGGGTGAAGGTGAACACCCGAGATGAATGAGAGCCCTGAAAAGATCTAGGCAAGCTCTCACACCAGAGGTGCTTTCCTGCTAGTGAGTACAATATAAGATAAAGGGCAGTGGAAGAAAATGCTGTAAGAAAATTTGAAGAAGGAAAGATGATTCTTGGCCAAGGAAATCCAGAATGTTAATGACAAATATTATTAGATTGTGTTATGTCTCAACCTAACACATTTAACTGTCCAAAATTCATTAAAACAAAAATCTATTTCATAGCTACTGTATATGTAGGGCTCCATTAGGTCCCAGATGCTGATTTTGACATCTCTCTGCCTTGTTTACAATTTGAAATTGAGTCATCTTTCTTTGTTTGATCACCTTCAATCACATTCATTGTAATTTAAGAGGGAAAGAAGAGAAATGATAGGTTACTAGGCCTCCTTCTAATGTCCTGGGGCCCTGTGAATAAAGACCTGGGTTCTTTGCCTGCCTCTAAATTTATTCTTTTTCATTTTAGGTAAAGGGAGAGTGAAGCCCCAACATCTAGATTTTGTGGCTGGTTCAGCATCAATGCCCTGAAGAGCAAAGAGTAACCTTTAGGACCCAGGCCAGTAGTTACTGAGACAAGGATCCCTCCCCCAGTTATGGTGTATCTGAACATGAACTTGGTGGGACCAATGCTATGTAAGAATTGAACTAAGTTTGAAGCTATTTTTCCCAGAGACTGAGATGGGATGAGGGGATTATGTCTTCTAAGGTATTGGGAGGAAATGTTTTTACTTTTGTTCTTGCTATATATTCAAAGTAAATATCAAGCTAATTGATGTTAATTAAATAGTTACTAGGGTACTAGTCATGTAGCTTAACAGTGAAGAGAAAACTGAGAAAAAACAATTGGAGACATGTATATCAGATGTGGTAACTGTGTTGAATGTTAAAATTTGTTATCCTAGACTATATGTATTTTTTTTGATAGTTTTTCTTTTCTTTTTTTTCCCCCAATTGTTCAGTAGTATGTGTTTAGGAAGAATACGAAGGAGAGATAATAAATGCTTGTCTAAATAAAAAAATAAATAATTTTTTAAAAACAAAGAGATAAAAGACCATTTCACAAGTAAGAAATCTTTGGCAACCTTTCATTACATTGATTACTTTGAAAGGTTTATAGGAGGACATGTCAAGATTCACATACTATGAAAAGGCATATATTGGTTGCAATATGCATCAATGGCTGGATTCCCACATTGATGAGGTCACAGATACATCAATATATCAGAGTGATCAACTATCATCCGTAGAATTTTTTCCCTTATATATGAACAAACTCTATTACTTTTCATATATAGGGATACATGGAGGCAGCATTACGTAGTAACAGCACTAGACTTGGAAAAAGTCAAATAACATCTCCAGCACTTGGTAACAGTATGACCCTGTGCTTCAAAACCTAATTTCTCTGACCCTCAATTGATTCACGTATAAAATGAGAATCATAATGCTTCTTCTTCCTACCTAATAGGATGGTTGCATCTTATAAACCTTAAAGTATTATGTAAGTATGAGTTACTATTAATTTTTTTTTAGTCTCCAGACAGTTCTATTATATTTTTCTAAAGAGAGGAGAAAAGGTTTAAAATTATTTAGGGGAATGAGACATGATACTTTTTCTCCCTTAACAATTGTTTCTTGATTTTATTAAGGCCAAAAAAGGAAAGAAAAAAAACTCACATTAGACCATGTTATTAGTTACTAACTATGTAATTCAACTAGAAAGAAAAATCATTTTTGTCAAGGTAGTAAAGATATTAGATGAGACTTGTACATTCAATTGCAAATTATAGATCAGATTCTGTATGAGAGTTATACAAGGAATCTTGCCTTAAGGGAATAAAACTCACACAACACAGCAAAAGCATTTCTGTTAACAAGTAATATAGTCATGGATGATACTTAAAAAAGGAAACAACACTATTTCATGGAACGAAAATAATAAGATTTAATGACATGGTCATTTTTGATAATATATCAAAATGTAAGATGCTATGTTACAAAAAGATAGCTCTTGCTCTTATTTGATCAAAAACCAATAAAAAGAATTATGACTAAATTATCATGAGAACAATATTTCCACACATTCTTAGATATTGTATGCCTAGAGTGCAAGCTAACTACATACAATCATATTGGTTATATTTCAACACCACTATTAAACCACAGGTGCTTGGTTCTAACAGCAAAACCCATAATTTTAATAACCTAAAGCAAATGTCAACTAACATATAACATCCCAATATTAAAATAAGAGAAATTAAAATAACATAAAAAGTCAAAAGAGAACTTTTTTATATCATAGATATCAAGATTTCAGATAACTTTTACTTAACCGAAAAAAATTAGGATTGTTCTCAAATTTAAAGACCTATTCTTTGAAATCTAATGATCAATATATCTATCAGAAGTATAGCCATTTTAAATGTATATGTCCAAATTACTCCTGGCATCCATTAACAGTATGGGATATGAACATTGATCAATTGTCAGTGTTTAAAGTGATAGAGAATTCTCATGTTCCCATTTGTATGTATGTATAATCATAAGATCACGAATCTGGAGATGGTAGAGACCTCAAGCAAACATCTAGTATGATCCCCTCACTTTACAGATGAGGAAATGGAGGCTCAGAGAGATTAAGTGACTTACGTAAGGTCACATAGGCAGGAAGTACCTAAGACAGGATTGGAATCTGGGTCCTCTGATTCCAAATGTGTTACTCTTTTTACTTACCTCTTTTTGACTTTTTGTGTTTTGACGATTTGTGAAGTAGCAACATATTCAATTAATATATTTAATTTGTGCCCAAAACATAATCTGATTTCACTTACTAAATTCAGGATTATGTGGATTTCTATAACACAGAAGGTAATATGTTACTACTTTACCTCAGCTCCAATTCCTGGTACTCTTTTCATTGAATAGAACTTGTAGATGAAAAAAGAAAAATTTTCCTAAGATATGCCCATCCATGGAAAATATGGAATTGACAAATTGATATAATTTGTATTAAATATGAAATTTCTTGTGTGCCTACCTTAATCTTAAATATTACATTTCTTATGTCTTCATTTGTTTAAGATGGTCAATAAAAATACACTTATTTTTATTGGCTATATTTTGTTAGTTAAGAAATATGGGAATTTAGGAATCTTTCTTTTGAAAAGATAATTTACAGTTATAAGGAAAGTAAACCTCTTGGGCTGAATGTGTCATTAATCTTTGCCAGGTAGATAACTAGCTATCTGGAAAGATGGAGGTGTGACCTACTAAAAGCAGATACATTGGACTAAGTGACCATATGAGATCTTCCTTCAATATTCAGTTCCAGTATGTCTTCTGAAGGCCTTTCCTGATCCCCCTCATGAGCTAGTCTGTCCCCTCCCTCCAGAAAGTATCCTGTATTTTCTTTGTATATATTTTGGCAGATTTCTTTGTCTATTATTTCTACAGATGGAATATAAGCTCCTTAAAGGCAGGGACTGTTTCATTTTTGTAATATCCTTAGCTACTGGCATAGAGTCAGACATAACGTATATTTAATGGATATTTATTGGTTGATTGATGCCTGGCCCTGAGATTCTACAATTGATATTAGTTACATTGCAATCATTATTTGTTTAAGAGAGTTGCAGTTTCCTCTGGGCAATCTGTGAAATTATTTTACTCAAAATTTACATATTAGTCATGCTGGGAGACCCAAAAACATTTCACCAGGCCTTTCACCAACTCTGTTTTTTTGGGAGCACAATACCATTTATCCAACTGCTCCCTAAGTACTCTTGACTGCAAGGCCTTTTGCTGAAACAAAAGTTCTATATCCAAATAAGTGATGTTCATTTTCCAAGTTTCCAAGTTTATGTATATGAATGCAACTCAAATTAATGAGCATTCATTAAGCACCTGCTATGTTCAAATCACTGTGCTAAGTTCTGGAGATAAAAAGACATGATCAGAGAACTCTTTTAGGGAGTTTATATTTTACTGAGAGTTTACAACTTGTAGACAGATTAATGGACATAAAATATCAGCAAAGTGACACCCTCCCCTCCTCTCATTTCGAGTAATTTTGAACTGATATTAGAGGTTAGGGGTTCATGAATGGACTTGTTTGAGTGATTGTGCCTAGGCTATGCCTCTTCTAGGCAGAGGTGAGACAGTAGCATATTCTAGATATGTAGGACCATCTGCAGAGACAGAAAATTGGAAAATAGAATACAAAAATACTCAACTGATATTTGTCTTTTTTTAGAGTTCGTACTATTTTTCTTTGCCTGTTAACATTGTTACAATAATATTAACCTAGACAAACTGACTCACATAAATCCAATACTGCATTACTGGTCTTCCAATATTCCTTTCACAGGTTTGTAGCATGAGACAAACAATATATGTGTTTTGTGCTTGAAAAGTGTAATTAATATTATAGACAAAAATGAACTTTTCTTAAAAATAAAAAAAAAGAAAAGGTAATTTACAATACGAGAATTCTCGTCTACCTAACCATGGACAATCAGCAAATGTTCAAGTCTTGCATTGTTACTAAAATGATGTGTGTATGTATGTATACAAGCATGCCACACCCTCAGGCCCTCCACAATGAGAATTTAAGTGATGTTCTTTGCTAAAGAAAAAGAGAAAAAAGAAAAACAAGGCTCTTTAGAGGCAAATTTAAAACATATTCCAAAATTTCCAAAAGTTAATATAATTACAAAATGGCTTACAGAAATCCAGCATGTTAAGATTTTTCATGGCTTCTGCTGTGGCTGCCATTGGGGCTACAGCAGCACCGAAGCCATGGCCATCTGATACCCAATGGCCTTAGGCATCAACAAGGGCTACAAAGTTACCAAAAATGTTTCCAAGCCGAGAGACTGCTGCCAACGTGGGTGATTGACCAAGCACACCAAGGTTGTGAGAGATGTGATCTGGGAGGTGTGTGGATTTGCCCATTATGAGAGGCGGGCCACAGAATTGTTAAAGGTCTCCAAGGATAATCGAGCCCTTAAGTTCATCAAAAAACAGAGTGGGAACTCACATCCCAGACAAAAGGAAGAGAGAGGAGGTCAGCAACGTCCTAGCTTCAATGCGGAAGGCTGCTGCCAAGAAGGACTAAGCTGGACCCTGCCAACCTTCCCCACTTACCCAATAAAGATTTGACAAATAAAAAATTTTTAAATTTTTAAAAAAGATTTTTCATGGCACTTCCTTGGTCCTAGTTTTTTTCATTAGTTTCTTTTCCCAAATGATATTTTGGACCCCTTCAAAAATTTTTACTAAGTTTCAGCATATCAGCTATTTATTATTAGCATTCTTTCCTAGAGATAGGAAAGTACCTTATAAGAGACTACCTAGAAAGCTTCTAAACAAACTTTAGAAGAGAGAAAGGAGAAGAGGGAGAAGAGAAGTGCCTAGGATTTCATTGGCATAGGGAATTCTCAGGTAAAGAAACTCCCTTTAACAATGCAAGTCAGCACCTCTGTAATTTACAATGTTAGAGAGCTGTTTAGGTTCAGAGCACTGAGTGGTTAAGTTATTTGCCTAGCATGAGTAGAAGCAGGATTGGAACCCAAGTCTTTTGGGTTTTGAGGCTAGCTCTTCATATAAAATATATAAATAACCCAACTCTGACT